AGGTCTATTACGGGGGAAACATATGATTATTGGGGGGGGGTTGTATTAGCTGGTTTAGATTTACTGGGGGGGCTTCAACCCCCATCCCCCCGTAATTTACGCCCATGGATGGAGTACGTGAGTAGGCTGATGTCCATTGGTATACAGGCTGATCTGTTTCAGCGGTGTATGACCGCGGGCTTTGCCCTGTGTGTTTTATATGTGCAGAACGACAATTGTCAACGATGACATTTTTTTTGCAAGTAACTGTGACGAGAGCAGTTATGTATGTTACAGTTGCTATTTAGATTGGTGAAATTTTGGGAATTTTTTAAAATGATAATTATATTATAATTGTATTTGTGATGTCATTGTAATTGCATTATTTGCTTTAAAATGTAATAACTTTAAACATGCAGTTAATATCGTACGCTTTAAACGTTTTAAGATGTTGGTTATTTTTTAAGAGGCTGTTTTAATATAAAAATGATCTTGGGGTCGCCAACACTCACGTATCTGCCGTGACACTCATGCTTTCAGATTCTAACGCTCATGCAGGAAATCTTTCGGCAAATCTGTATTAAAAACCTAAAATTGGCTACATTGAAAGCGCTGGGGCAGTTTGCAAACCCTACAGACTATTTACAATATAATGATACTGTTACATACGTGTAAATGTATGCGCAGAATTAAAAATCTCACTCCAGCCAGTTGACCTAAGCTGGCAGCCCAGTAAATTATCTGCTTTATATAGAACATTATGATCCACCTAAACATCTGCACAGTTTATAACAGAAATCATTTACCATAACAAACCAAAAGCTCACCTACATACTGTAGATCTATTAGCAGAAATAAGTGCGCTAGCTATTATTATTGTTATTATTATTATTAATTAATATTAATATATATTAATTAAATTAATAATAATAATAATAATAATAATCATAATAATAATAATAATATGGTTTTAGTTGTACAATTAAAATTCTACCTGTGTTTTACATATGACAGGTTAAATGAAGATGATGGAAGATAACTGTGTAGCGTTTAATTCAGGCCGTTCCCAGAGACATCCAGGAAGATACTATACAAAGGACAAACCTCAGATGGACGCGAATGACAGTGAGTGTGCCTGTTATTCATGCTGTCTGACGGAAATGCTGTTTCAGGGAATGTTTTAATGAAAAATAATATACGGGTATTTCCTAGGCCCCAGACCTGCGGATAAGACTGCTTCAATCCCTACTAGATACCAGACTGTGGTGAAAAATAACACAGACAAGAAAGGTTTCTCCTCACAGACCAAGAGGTTCATTTCTGAAGATGTCCAGGTGAAAATGAGACCATCAAACCCCAAACAATTAGCATTACCTTTCTAAAGCGGTGATTTGTTGTCAGTAGCAACAGCCAAAAGGACGCTTCATAAACCATGTGTTGTGTTTTCTGACCCCACTAGATGGTGCTGTTCATAAAAAGGCTCAAATCATGCTCCTTAGCTAACCAAGAGCACCAATTGGCTCGTGAGGCCACCGGCTGGTCATCACTAGTTGTCAGTGGGTTGCTCTTTACGGTTAGCTGTAAAGCTGCAAGCCTTTCTTCCAAATGTCTAAAACACAGAAACAGAAATCTTTTGCTGAATATGTTTGTTTGCCTGTTTTGGAATGCTCACCTAAATCGCATTCTGTATGGGCACTGTGAAAATGGCTACAAAGTTTTTATACATCCATTACTGGTGACAGAAACAAATGGCATTGTGGTGGTAATTCAGGTACCAGCATGTCCGTGATCAGATCTCTGATGCCTGTCCTGCAGAATGACACGCCAGGACCAGGCTCCTACATTTCCCAGCAGTCTGCAGACCTCATCAGCCCCTCATTCTCCACGAAGGGCACCGGCGGTTTCGCATCACAGGTCATCTTCTGAGCCTCCGTGCAGCCAAGACCCTCTACTGACAATAATAAATAGTTCTCCTTCTTTAAGGGCTTTGATTATAAGCAGTGGTGCTGACAGGTCAGAGATGTTTGGTGTAGAGCAAGGTTGAGTATGTAGTAATATAGATCAGAGGTGGATAGCTCAGGTCCAGAAAGTAAAAATCTTGGACAAGATTTTGTTTCAACCAACCAGCTGAGTACTGTGTGACTGTGGCTCTTCATACTCAACTGGTCGATTGAAACAAAATCTTGGTCTGGATTTGTACTTTCGTACCTGAACTTTCCACCTCTGATGTAAATGCATGTGTGCCATGTAAGAAGATTGCTCTCCACCTCCAGGCCGCCCGCATGCCTTGTCCCCCCCGCCGTTGCACCCCTGGGCCCAACGTCTACAACCTTCAGACTTCCCTACTGTCCAAGTTCAGCTCCACCAAGGGCTGCTCCAGAGTCTTCTGTATGCCTATAGTCATGAAGGTGGAAGACCAGCAGAATCAGACGCCTTCTCCCAATCAGTACCATGTGTGTACCTCATAGCCTATGAAGAGCTGCCTACTTCTATACTGCTGATCAGATTGTGGCAGTTTTATAATGAGTTTCCATGATTTTCTTTGTGACTGAAGGTCGCTCACATAGCTGTTTGTTCCTGAGATTTAGCAACTTTTGTTCTTCATGGCTCCAGCATTGTTGCTTGGATTCTAGCACCTGCTGGTATCGGTTAATTTCCATGAATGAACACTTCAATGTTGTTTATTGAGAGTTTTAGGTGTCTTTTAGTGCGGTTGAGAGGAACAGCACTGTATCTGCCCGGTCTTCATTTGTATCGAAGACCAGCAGAAGCGGCCTGCACCGCGCTGTTGAAGGTCCATCTCCGTGTAAGAGACTTCAGCACACTGTGTCACACAGTCTGGCATGGACACTGTTCTTCTGAGCTGCTGCCATCAGTGTGGGAGTCTTGTGACTGGTGTGTGAAGGCTGTATAGCTCTGGAAAAAATTAAGAGACCACTCCATATTTTCTTTAAGAATCTGCTTTGTTTAATCCTGGTTTAAACCTGGTTCTGCTGGCAGAAGGCTACGTTGAGTGGCAGTTTGCTTCCAGGCTCAAAATTTCTAAGACCACAGTACACAAGAATACGGTGAAGCAGGAGATATTGGGAACAACCAGAAACTGGCCAGATTTAGCAGAAGTGACTTTCTAATGCTGGAGATATCCATTAACTTATCCAGCAGTGCCTCATGATTTGGAGGATGACATTAAGTGACCTTCAAACGGAATGGGAAATATTAAGTGCAGGTGTGAAGTGCACTGCTAGGACACTTCATATCAGGCTCCTAGAAAAAGGATTGAAGTTCCATAAAGCAAGGAAGAAGCCCTTCATTAATGAGAAACAGAGAAGAGTCATGTTGGAGTTTGCAAAAATATATATATTTTACACAGAAGCGTACCCATAAATTTAGAAATGAGTGAAACTGAAAATGTTGCTGTAGTCTGTTAATTTTTTTCCAGAGCTGTATGAGGTCCACATGGCCTAGTTATGTGTCATACATGTACAGAGACAGACTAGTGCTGTCTGCATACTATATGAAGGCTTCATGTGTGTCATAATAATCAGGGATAGACGACTGAAGTCTTAAGTTGCGTCGTAAAATCTATTAAGAGCTACGATGGGGCCAGTCAGTTTTACTGAGCTGGGGGGTCTGCTACAATGATTTGTCAAGTTCTATCCATATCCCGATTAACCACTCTGGCACCGGCCCAACACTTGTAAGCAATGCAATGAAACTTGTAGTGCAACAATTTTTAATTGTATTCATTTTTCAATCTAGTATCTTTATAATTGAACCTTATTGCTGTCTGTAGTTAGACTGCAGAACAATTGGCTTCAGAAAAAACATACTATTTGTACCGGGTACTCATTTCAACCAGATATTCCCCTAGTGTTTAACTTTCTCTAAGTAACTGTTTACAGCTCCTCCTAGTGGTCAGGCAGCATGTTATGAAATCATTTCAAAGTGGTGTTATTTTGTTAATTTGTAAAATATACATTTAATATTTGTGCATAGTGAGCAGGCCGGAAAAAAGAGTGATGGGGCCGCATATGGCCCCGTGGGCTGCCAGTTGTCCATACCTGATATAAGCAATGCCTAAGCACCATATAACCAATATGTTCAGTAAAACAAGTGACTGGTTTTGAGATGCGCGGTTTACCAGCCATTATCTACATGCTTCCTGGCATTTGCGGTCAGAATCTGTCTGCTGGATTCTACAGTGTTTTTTGAATCCACAAATTATTATGCTCTATCAGAATTAATGTTTAATAAATCATGTGACTGCTGTGAAGGCGAATGGTTGGATAGGCTGTTTTGAAAATTGTATCTGAAGGGGCTTTGTGGTTTTCTCCTGTCTAAGGTCATTATGCTGTAAATGATGCCCTAACCAAGACGTCCCCTAAGGTGCCCGTCTCCTGCTTTAAGTCTGGATCCAGCCGCATTCAGCCCCCAGTGATCAGCCAAGCCCCCGGGCCGGGAAGCTATAAACCAAACCAGCCCCCTGAACCCGTTAAGAGGACCATTTTCCCGTGAGTTGTCCCCTGTGGCTCTTATTTATCTGGGCCTGACTGGGATGGGTGATACTGACCAGCTGCCTCACAGCTGCAATAAAACAGCATGAATTTGCCTGGGGGACTGAATGTATGATCACTGATTCACTGTGTACAGGCCCAGTGTCTGGGGGGCATAATCGAGGAAGTTGTCCCAAGCCCAGCCCAGAGGGGTGGGGGGCAGGAGGGGTTCGTTCCCAGGAGAGCGGTGATCTTCATGCGGGGGCCCTATTGAATTCGTTTTGTACCGTGCCCAGGAATTACGCAAACTGGCCCTGACTGTGAGCCCCATTTCTTAAAACTCTTACAAAATATCATGAACATATATGCATCCTTTTTGAAAAGGGAAATTTTTGCAGTTCCTTTGTGCGGTAAAATGCCATTTCGCCCAATATAATTCACCCTTATTCACAGTTTGACCTAACCCCAATCGATATTTCACTATCATTCCATAATATTCACAGATGTCCCATTTGAATTATACATTATTTTTGTGTGTGGAAGCTGCGTGGTACAGAAAACAATATAGGACAGAGGTGGAATTGCCACGGCAACTACCGATGATAATGGGCAATTTTCCAGAACCATTCTAGGTTATTCTTTGAATTAGCACCACCTGCCATTTTGCAGCGTAAATGTGAAGTTGTGAACATCTGGTTCTGTGGTAATTCTAGTTTACGTGGATTTAAATCGTAACTGAAATGTTGGGGAAAAAAAATTCTCTCCCATTAACATATAACCTAGGAAGAAGTACTACCTGGTATTGGCTGCCCCAGCTATGACCATGCCAAAGACTCCGCCCCTCCCAGGGCCTGGCCAGTACAACATTGTGGACTGCAAAGGCCCACACAGGCAGTACATGTCTAGTGCAGTGTTCATGTCAGGGACAAGCCGATGGATCAGAGAAACAGGCGGAGATGGACTTCCTGGGCCAGGTAGGTCCAAGATGATAAATCTAGCACTGCTGCTATTGACAGACAGTAACCGGAACCTCTTAGTGGTCAGTACTGATTTCAGTTAAAGACTCTGTGAAATTCCCATCTTTTTGTAGGTCTCTACGATCCCCGGATGCCTTCAAAGAAGTCCTTTCTTTACAATTTCTCCAAGAGATGGATCCCTGCCTGAAGACCAGTCTCTCCTTCTATATGTTTGCGTGTGACTTACGGTGGAGAAGATAAGATGTGCGTGTGACATCCAATAAACTGGTTACAGTGAAGAAACAAGTTTAGTGTTTATAATATGATTTTTAAATAGACTAAGTCATTTCCCAACTAGCCAGCTACCAGATAATCAGAGCTGTTACCTAACCAAAAGTCCTCCCGTCCACTAGAGGGAAGCAACTCTTACTTTTAATTCTCTCTGGAGTAGCTGTGGGTAGCACAGATTAGCAATGCTCTGTGTCATGCCTCTAGGGTTGTGGGGTTTGAATCCCACCTCCAGTCTGTATGGCGTTCTCTCCATGTTCACACGGGTTTTGTCCAGGTACTTTGGTTTCCTCCCACAGTCCAAAAGCATGTAATCTAATTGACATCTCTACATTATCCATAGTGAGCATGCGCCTCATGATGTGCTGGCATTCTGTCCAGGGTGTGTACCTCAGACTTCATAGTGCCCTACGCTCCCTGGAATCCGCTCTGCCCTCCATCCTTGTTTTCCATCCTGTCTCAGCTCAGGTTAGATTCCAATCTCGGATTGTCTCTCATCGTCTGGCCCCGGAGGTAATGGAGTCCTCAGTGCATTGAGCACCGCAGTTTCTCACTATTCCAGCTTTGCGTAACAGGACAGGCCGACAGCACTGTGTCCTGATTGTGAAACCTGACACCGCGAGACAGTCTCCATGCAACTTTCAGTCACACTAAGTTGTTCATGCTATTCCAGCTATGATGTGAAGCAATCTGATTGGCTGTGGACCTTTTGGTCTGAAGTGGCCATACAGTTGTTTGTGAGCATCTACTCGATGATGTATGCCTGTCTAGGGACACAGCAGTAACAGTAAGTGTACAGTAGCACAATTCCTCTTTCTGGCTGGATGCTGCGAGAGACAAAACGAGTGACACTGGTACAGATCTGAGCTCACAAAGAGCTCCTTCATGGCTCTGCTCTAACCTCCCTGCCCAACAGACAGAGAGAGTTTTCTGCTTGCGGGGTCGTGATACAGGAACATGCAGATCCTGAGGTCTGCAGTACCGCAGGTCTATGTGATGATACTGTCTTATGACCGGTGTAGGTTATTTTTGAACATAATCTACAGAACAGACCTGATACAGATCGTGTCCTCTGGGAAACACAAATGAACTTGTTTACAAGTCACTTTATGCCAATGAATATGAAAACATTGTTATTTGGCAAGTGGGGAGAGGGATTATCTAACCTACCCCCCCACCACCTTCACCAAGTTATATTCAAAGTATGACTGAATACATTTCAAGTATTACTATCTGTTTTATTATATATTTCGCAAAAATCTGCTATCCTATGGATTATCTTCATTATCCTGAATGGTATCTGTTTAACTGTTCAGTTGATCCTGATAGCATCTATTTACTGGAACTTTCTACAGATTTGTTCAGATGTTATCTATGAACATCAGAACAAAGCATGAATGATGTGTTCTGAGGACAAAAATCCATATCATCTGATAATCTGTATAACCCATTTCAGGTGTGAAAAACTGGGAGAATGCAACGAGTGACATTTTAACATATTTTCGGTGACAGCCTTTTAATTTGACTTCAAGGCAGCAACGGGATTCTTAGGGATTCTTAGGAGGACTGAACTATCCCGGAAAACAGGGAGTTTAATCACATTCCATCAGAATTTTACTTAAAATAAGACCCCTAAAATACAAGAACGAAATGCGGTGTTATATATCGAATGCAGAGTATACTAATTGAGTATATTTATAATTTGTTTTCACCTTGGGGTAAAATTTTAGAAATTTAAAAAATATGAACGTTACCCCCCTGGTGCACTTGGTTCAGCCTACTTAGGGACCAAAATCCTAAGGCTCAGAAACCGAACATCAGCTGTTGCCCTGTATTGGGCATCGACGGCTGCGTCTTGGCTAAGTTTTATTAACGCTGTGCTGTCGCAAAATCAGAAATTCGTGATCACATGTGTCACTCATTATAATTCTCAAGTTACAATTAATACGACAAATTTAATATTTTTAATATTCAAGTATTGCAGTTGCCTTAATAATATCCAGCTCATTTCGTTTTATACGGCGGGGTTAAAGCGACTGTTTCTCCGATTCAGAGTTGGAGGAATGTTTCCAGCTGGATAACGTGGAGTGGAGAAGCGCATGATTTTAAAGATGGATTGCACAGCTTTCAAAGGCAATTCTGAAAAGGCTGCGGATCGTAAGTTATCTTTCACATTTGATATACGTTTGATCGCCGTTGCGAATTCGTTCTCCCGCATGAATAATTCAGAAAGAAGTGTCCTTGATTAAATCATTTAAATTGGAATGACCTCTTTCGTCTTTCGCAGCATGTCAATGTCATCGAAATCACTGAGAATATTTATGTAAAATCTGTAGTCCGTGTATGGATAGAATTACTAACTGACATACCTTTATATTTTATCTCAAACCTTGCATTTTCAAGATTTTAACCTGACTGCGTAGTTGGAATTGTCACCAGACGTGTCCCCAAAGAAATGTACGAGAGGCAGTTGCATTGCGTGTAGAAGTAACCTTACAAACGTTTCCCTTAATTACAGTCTAGAGTATCTCTACTAAATAAAGCATGTTCTCTCTCGTCCACGATAACATTTTATTGTAATTACTTTTTTATTGTAACATTAAGATTGATGCATCCAGATTTTTTTTGCCTGTAGACTACTAGATTTCCCTTACGGAAAAGAGAAAGTGAAATCCAAGTCTTTTTCATAAATACATTTCCGTTATTATTTAATAACATTACCCTGTTATTAACCCGGGGAATATTAACCAGTTAGTACATCTCCTGAAGATCAATCATACGTTTCCCACATCTGAAAAGCATACATCATTTCACATTGAAGGCGACTATAAACCCCTTTATCTAAGTTATTTTTACGTGTGTTCGTGTGTCTTACCAACTACGATTAAACGAGATGTAGAATCGAGTCGCGCCGGTTAAAGGTGGGAGTTCGACTGATACAGCCAGCTGTCTAAAATTACCGCAGCATGCAGAAGATCGCCATTTCAGAAACAACAATATACCCTGCTATGTATTTGCTAATGAATGGGTACAATGATAAAAATCATTAAAAAACGCCAATAGCTATTATTCTGTAAATATTTGTGATATATTGAGCAAAAAACCTGGAATTGTGACATATTTTTACCTGCCAAAAACGAGCAGACTGCTGCTCTCCCGGTGATCTCGGGAGAGAGAGAGCTCACACGTGACCAACATTCTGATTCTAATACGGCTGGTAGCGCCGGGCGCACTTCACCCAGAAAATGGATAAATCTGTGTCACCCTGCTGTACGATTTACCTCGGTCTTCACCTCCGTCTGCGTATGATGTTAGCGATGCACTAACTCGTAGAGAAACATTAAAACTGAGCACTGTGAACAGCATCCAACCATTGTGATCGGTGTAGTAAGCTTGACGTGCAAGTCACTGTCATTTGTTAAGAGTGTGGATCTGGTAATTACCTGATTACCATGTGTTTCAGCAGGGAAAACTGCAAACTGTGCTGGATTCAGGCCTCCCAGGACCAGAATTGGGGAATCGTGGTTTATTGGCATCATTCTTGTCATATATCCCTTAAAATCAACAGCACATGCTATCAGTGTTGAGGCGGTATTCATTCAGATAGTGCTTAAGAATCTTAAGAATTTCACATGATTTATTTATCAGTTGGCTGACCACAATTCATTCATGTTTGCAGATTTACTAAAACCAGCCAAGGTTGAGTAACAGCAACATGCCAATGGTATTTTTACAGGTTCTAGCAAAGCATCCACACATTTAATTGATTTCTTCTTAGTTACTTTTAATTTCATAACTAGCATCATTTTATACTGTATGTCTGTATACATATTAACAATATATGAAATGAACTCTGCCCCGAAGTGGTTTATCCTGGTCTCTGTTGCTTGTGGTCCTGACCCTCTGCTTCAGGCTGGTTATCAGCTAGAGCTCATGTGTAAACTTGGACATAAATTATGGCAGGGATGGGGGTTGTAACCCCCCCCAATAATCAAAACCAGCCAATACAAACCCCCTGGACCCTCATAAATGAGGGGAGATTTCAACCCCGCAGTGCTCAACCCAAAGTTATGCCCTTGGGTGTAAATATTGGTTATGGAGGCTGATGGAGACTGGGAAGTTCTCTCTGTCTCTACTCTGTCTGGATTCTCCACATTCTCCTTTCGGATCATTTCATTGATTTTCTGAGTAGGAGAATCCACATTTATTGTGGAAAGCAGACTTGTCCTTTCATCCTCCTGTAATGGGCTGAAAATGGTAACTAGCAAGATTTGTATCTCTTGGGACTCTTTTTGTCTGAATGTTGGCATTTAAATGCACCTAGACAAATCAAAAGGGTCCAGAGGGAATCATGCTGTGTTAGGATCAGGGGACGCATGCTACTGATGTTGTGCACAGAAGAACATACAAGAATACAGCCAGTTAACCTGAGCGACACACGAATTGGGTTTGCAGAGACAGCGACAGCAGCATGTAATGAAAACTGAAGGGGTTAATTATTTCTGTCGGTTCGTTAGGAATTTTGGAGATTTGCTAGAAAATATTAATTGGCCTGTATTATGCTCTTTCGGTTTTTCCCTTTACTTTAGTGTGCTATATAGCTTTATGGGCATGTAAATGGCCTGCAGAGTCTGAAAGGTCCAAAGTATATGCCAAAGGAAGTAACTCTCACCAGAGAAACCACTGTTCTCTAATCTGCCTAAAACATGTTGTTGGAATTCCAGCCCTTACTTCCGCGACATGGTGAGGTCACTTCGTAACAAAATCCTTATTGGCTGCCTCCCTGCAAGCGTCTGTCAGCAGACTGCAAGACAGGGGCAGAAAGCACAGGGCAAGCTGACCAGTCAGAGCACACTGGGGGGGTGGGACTTAAAACTCTAACAGAGCGTTTCAGACATAAGGTGAATAGAGGTGTACGGTATGAGAAGAATAATGTGTTTTTGAAACATTAAAGCATGGAA